CACCGCGCCAGCTCGTGGCGACCGGGACTCGGGATCTAGTGGGCCTTTTAGGAACCCCTCGGGACCCGCGGCCGAGCTGGCGTTGGCTGGACGTGGGACGGACTTGCGAAGCGTGAGGCTGCAAGGAGCGGAGGAGCCATGTGTGTGGAGAAGCCATGGGTGTCCCGAAAAGAATCTGGCTTGGGAATCGTCTCTCTCAACCCCTTACCCTCTGGGCTACATGAAACATGGCTTTTCACCTCCCTGAACTCAGTTTACTCATCTGTAAAACGGGGCAGTGCAAACCCTAACTAGCATCTCTCTGTGTGGAGTTAGCAGGTGGCCAAGCTCACCGGCCCCAGTGCATCTGAGAAACATCCTGGGACCGAGATGGCCCCAGCTTATGGTCATGGCTTCCAGGTAAAGACACTGCCCCCTGCCTGCCCACCCAGGTTCAGATTGCTCTCAGCTCTGAGAGGATGATGGGAAAGTTATCAGGTGAGGGGTGCTGGGGACAGCTGGCTCCCTCATCAATTCCCTAGTGACAAATCAAGCCTGGCTGGACCCAGGTCTCTAGACGCATTCTAGTGCTCTTTGCACCCATCATAGTTCTGAGGCCCCCCGCCCACCCACCCCCCTCACGCTTTAGGTTTCAGTAAGTGGTGCCAAGGCAAGGGGTCACCTGTCTGGTTAGCACAGAAAGCCCTGTGCCAACAGGAGGGCCGGCCCTTTCTTCCAGACAGGTCTCCCTACCAAGCCACGCTCGTGTCCGGCAGATTCCTGCTCACAACGCAGGTCCTGGCCTCCCTGTGCTGTGCCGGGTCCTCTGTGTTTTTCTCCACCTGCGGTGTCTGTCCACCTTCCAGCCGCGCCCAATCACCCCTGTTTTTGTATCCAGCATTGGCTGAACTTCCACTCTGTGCAGGGCACTGTACTAACACTTTAAGGCATCTACCTTGTTTCGTTATCACATCTTGTAAGCCCGACTGTTATTATTTCCGTTTTACAGATGGGGCAGGTGAGGCTGAGTGCGTGTAACTGGCTCTGATGCTCAAGCTCTGCCCTCTGCTCCCTCTATGCACAGTTCAAAGACCACTCCCTGTTGGAAGCAGGGCGTGGCCTGACCTTTTACTGAATAACCACTTCCTGGGCATGGCCCATTTCTTAGCACCCTGTGGTGGGCTCTGTGCCACTTCTCCTGCCCTCCCTCCTGGTTGCTAAAGGGTTGGTGCCCCCATAGGCCTGGCACCGTGCTGAGTCCACAGCTCTCAGGAAGGGCACCCTGGGGGAATAGGAAGAACTTCAGAACTGCATCTTCAGGGACAGAGACCTCCCTCCCCAGCCACACTGTCTCCTCCCCCGCCCCCACTGGGGGGGGAGGAGAAGGGATTCCCCCCATTCTTCCCGCTGCTGGGGAAAGAGATCAACCAAGACTTCTCTGCAGCCAGTGAGCCCAGGGAGCCCCACTCGACACTTCCTGTCTGTCCATCCCTTCCCTCCCCTGCTGTCTCCTCTCCTGCCCCTCCCTGCAGGCTGGGCCCCTTCCCTGGGGTCCATTTCTGATCTGCAATTGCACCTCTCCTGCCATCATCCTACAAAGCATATGTTTATATACCCCGTGTGCCTGGGACTTCCCTATCTCGATTTGCATATCATTTGCATGGCTGTGTGCAGGGCGGGTCTGACTCTGACTGCAGTACCTGGGACCTGGTTCTTTTGTCCACATGCAAAGTTATGCTGTGTCTCTGCGCCGGTTTCCCAGAAGCCAGGGGAGCATGTGCCTGATGACACCTCAGGGCCTTCCAGCTCCAGGGCCTAGGATTCTGGGGCCCGAGGGTGGGTCAGGAGCGGGGAGCCGAGGACGGTGCCATTGGGACAGAGATGGGCACGGGAGGCTCCCAGTTGGAAGCACAGCCTTGGGTTTCAGCCATGGCATGTGGCAGGGTGGGAGGGGCCGGCATGATCTCACCCCTTTCTTCCCTCATTCCATCCACATTGGCTGTGCACTCCCCTCGAAGCCAGGATGCTGCTACATGCTGGGCATCTTAGCACAGCTTTAGAAGGAAGGGATTTTTTTTTTTTTAATCCTCATCTGAGGATATTTTTCCATTGATTTTTAGAGAGAGTGGAAGAGAGAGAAAGGGAGAGAGAAACATTGACTGGTTGCCTCCATCATGCCCCTGACCAGGGCCTGGGCTGGGGAGGAGCCCATAACCCGGGCATGTGTCCTTGATCAGAATCGAACCTGGGAACCTTCAGTCCACAGGCTGACATTCTATCCACTGAGCCACACTGGCGAGGGCAGAAGGTATAATTTTTAGGCTCCTTCTATAGAGGAAACTAAGATTCATGGAGAGCAATGTAGATGGCAGAGGGGGAGGGATCTCAACCAGGCCTGCCAGACTCCAAAGCCGGTACTTATCCCGCCTCCGTGCCCGGCCTCAGTCTCCTCTCTCCTCTCCCTTCCATGACCTTGGAACTTAGGCATCATCCATACAAGGTCACAGGACAAGTCACACAGAGGAGGGACCCTTCCACTCCGCTCCTCCTCACCTGCTCCTCCCGGGGCCCAGAAAGGCGGTGGGCACACAGTCCCTAAGGGCTTGGAGCAGCAGGGGCAGTGTTGAGTCCTCCTCTCGCTGACTTGCTCAATGGTCATTGCAATGAAATGACCTGGAACAGGAGCTCAAAAGACCCCCTTTCCCCTCCCTCCTTCCCCACATTGAGTCCCCATGAATTCAGCTTTGTGGGTTCAAGGCAGATGAGAGGAGGTGGGGGAGGTGATAGTCCATGTCTGTGCTTCGTATGGGAGAGGAAAAACCAGGGGGAGAGAGAAGGGGTTGCCTGGGGTCAGACAGGAACATAAGGAAGAAAGGCTGAAAGAAGAGGGACAGGAAATTTCAGAGCCTTTGGACATCAAGGAGGCCTATGCAAATAACATGCAAATGACCTCTCGCTGGGCTGCTTCCCCTACCTCTCAGTAGCTGGAGGATTTTTTCAGGGAGTAACCACAGTCTTACTCCAGGATGCTGTGGTCCCCAAACGGTGGTCAACGTGGACCCCTCCCAGTCCTGGGGTCTCCTTGGTTGCACCTCTAGGAAGTCACTAGCTCCAAGGCTCTCTGTCTGGAAACACCCAGGAATCAGGCTTCCCCTTCCAGACACATTGCTGGGCATGGTCTATAGCCTGGGCATGGTCTATATAGCCTGGGCATGGTCTATAGCCTGGGCATGGCCTAGCCTGGGTCGGTCTACAGTGCCCCAGCCTTGTTCCTCCCGAAGCAGAGAACAGAGGCCTCCTTGGCCACAGGCCCTGCTGCACATTCTCACTTCCTGCCCTGTCAGCGGGATTGAGCTGTCAGACCTGGGAAAAGGGCGGAGAGCGAGGCGCCCTGGAAGGCCACCAAGCAACAAGTCCCTTCTAGCTTCCTCTGCCTGCCAGACGAACTGCGGGGTCCGGAGCGTGGGGCTGCGTGGCGGGGTCAGCTCGCTGCCTTGGGGCCACCATAGGGATCGAATCCAAGCTCAGCTTCTCCAAAGAGCGGATGGAACAAGGCAGAGGCCAGGAGGAACTCGGAGCCCTTTTTAAACATCACACCTCGGAGTCACGGTGCCAGGGAGGATTGCAGAATAGGGGTGTGTTGGGGGGTGTCAGGGCGATGAAGTGAGAGATGCTCTGGGAATCATGATAAAGCCACTGTTGCTGGGGATTTGACTGGAGAGGACATGAGTCAGGACACACAGGTGTTCACCCCCTGCCTGTCCCCGATGCTGAGCCACCCTGCACATCCTGCTCTACCTGGGACCCACCTCCATCCACATCCAGGGGAGACACACACACACTCATCACCCATTTTGCACTTGAAGTTTCCAAATAATAGGACATACTAAAACGTATTTAATGTTAACACGGCATAACAACTCTGTTTTTATTTATTTTAAAAAATATTTTTTATTGATTTCAGAGAGGAAGGGAGAGAGAGAGAGACAGAAATATCAATGATGAGAGAGAACCATTGATTGGCTGCCTCCTGCATGCCCCCTACTGGGGATCGAGCCCACAGCCCAGGCATGTGCCCTTGACCGGAATTGACCCCGGACCCCTTCAGTCCACAGGCCGACGCTCTATCTACTGAGACACACCAGCTAGAGCAACTGAGTTTTTAAATGTACATTTTTGAGCTCAGGGCCAGCACTGGGTGGTCTGGCCCCTCTAGTTGCACCTTCAGCAGAGCTATGCCTCAGTTAGGCCTACCTCAGACCAGGTAGGCCTCCAGGTTCACCCTTATGCTCAGGGCAAGTCTAAGTCCACGGCGCCCTCTTGTGGTGAGAGGGGTGTGAGCCTGCCCAGCTCCTCCCTGCAGGTCTCTGGAGAGGGCTAAGGATGCCCAGCAGGGAGAGCCTGCCCAGGGCTGGGCCTGGGGGCTGGGGGGCCTGGTGGGGGGGGCGCACAGGGTAGGGCCCAGTGCCAGGCAGACGGAGACACTGAACTTTAGCTTCAGAATGCTGCTGGTTCTTCTAGTCCCTGCTCCCCAACAAAGGCCAGACTTTACCCTGGAACCCCAGCGGGGTCAGCCAGCCTCTGCCCAGGCGACGAGTGGGAGACCTGGCCTTCTGGGGTGTCCGCCCTGCTGCCGGTCATCTCTGCAGCATCTGCGTACCCCACATGGAGGATGTCAGTGGCATTTGTCCTTCCAGCCACTCAGGGCCTGGATTGAGGACCCACTGCAGCTGCCATTGGGCGGGGAGCTGGGAAGGGATGGCAACCAGACACTCCCTGCCCCCAGGGAGCTCGCAGCTGCGAGGCTCGAGGCTCGTAGACCAGTGACAAGGCGAATCCCTCAGGTGCGGAAGCTGCTAACAGGCCATGGGCATCGGAAAGGCTGCTCAGAGGAAGGGCCTCTACGTGAGATGCCCCTGGGGAGGGGGGTGGGCATAAGGAGCACAAACACTGCGCCCAGCAGGGCAGGCAGCCCTGACAGGCGGGCCAGCTCGCCAGGCCCAGTGACAGGCGGGTTGTTGCTGATCACAGGGCTGGGCCCCGCCGGCTGTGGGGGCTCCAGTCAGAAGTCTCACTGGAAGGAACAGGGACAGACGGGATGGCAGTACGGATGTTTTACTTGTTTTTTTGGGAGATTTGAATGCTTTCAGGGCTGATGGGAAGAAGGTGGGGAAGAGAAGAGGAAGAGAGGAAGGGGAGGGGCTAGGACTCAGAGCAGAAGGGGGGTGCGGGGGGGGGGGAGGGGCGGCCCCCCATCATGGCAGGAAGGAATTCTGAAAGACAGGTGTGGCTGCAGCTGGATGGAGATGTGTCTGCTGCCTGTGATGTAGGAGGGGATTGTCTCTCACCCGGCCCCTCCCGCCCTCAGGGGCCTGGGCACCCCACAGGCCTGGGCCCTGAGGTAGCCTGGGATCCTCCTTTCCTTGCCGAGGAAGCCCTGCAGGTGGGCCTTCTCCCAAGGGAGCGCA